CTCTCTCTCTCTCTCTCTCTCTCTCTCTCTCTCTCTCTCTCTCTCTCTCTCTCTCTCTCTCTCTCTCTCTTTGTCTTGGTCTTCTTTGCAGGTGCGCGCGGCGGCTTCTTCAACCTCCGGGTCCGCTATGGCGGACTTCTTCTCCGTTGGCGACTTCGGCTATGGCGCATAGCTCTCCCTGCGGCACACGACGGACGCGCGTGGAATAGCGGGTACCAACTCTGATAGCAATGCAATCAGACTCGCTCTCATTCACACTTTACATGCATGCAAACAGGTGCGCAGCAAACTGGCGACAAGCGCCCACTCGAAACTCAGAGATAGGGTAGCCAAGATCGCAGTTCCGGTACAAGTTCACTTCAATGGCTATGGCGACACAGCGCCCACACAACTCTCAGTTCGCACACACAGGATCACCCTGGATATCCCACACACGGTACTTTGTACATGCATACACACACACACACGCTACATTCTACCTACAGCCATGGCGGCTATGGCCGCTGCTAACCTATCGCTATGGCTAAACTCCTCTCGCCCACTTCGTCTTCGGGCTCACTGCAGACCACCTCGCACAAGTTGCTGTGGCAGCGCTTCCTCATGGCTCACACATGAATGAATGAATGAATGAATGGAGAGACTTCCGCATGGCTTCCGCATGGCTCACACAGCTATGGAGCAGACAGGAGAGACTACCGGATCTGCATCAAGGATGAGACTACTGAAACAGTATTCACCAGTTTGCAGTAACTGATGCAGATCCCAAGGCTCGATCCCTAGTCCCCCACCTTACCTGTGTACAATACCTGTGTCAACCCGTAGATTTGAACCTGTGACCTGTAGGACCGCCAATGGTAGGTAGGATCTCGTAGGTTACATGGTACAGGGGATTCGAAATGTAGATCTGTCGGGTAGGAGTCTAGACAGTCCAGAGGTCGTAGTTGTAGACTGTCTAAAGGGTCAAAGTCGTAGCTGCCACTTAGCTGAAAGGGTAGAGTCGTAGCTGCTACAGTATTGAAAGGCCAAATAGATAGTTCTAGAAGTGGCCTTTCGGAGTCGGCCCCAGTTTGGGTAGAGGCCAGTGGGCAAGTGGTGGAAGTCCACCACGCAGAGTCAGCAGTCCCAGTCCAGCCAGTCCTGTCCAGTCAAGCAAGTACCGTCTGGGACTGTGCACATCATGGGCCAGGGAAACAGGGCAAACCAACGAGGCACAGAAGTATAAATCAAGAGGCTGCGCAGAGCCATTCATGCATTCCTGCGGAAGCCATGCGGAAGCGCTGCCTCAGCATCTTGTGCGAGGAGGTCTGCAGTGTGCCCGAAGTCGAAGTGGGCAGAGAAGTGTAGTATAGTGATAGGGTAGTGGCAGCTAGCGCTGCCATAGCTGTAGTGGTGTGTGTGTGTGCTGTGTGCGTGTACAGAGTGTCGCGTGTGGGATATCCAGGGTGATCCAGTGTGTGAACAGTGGATGTTGGGCACTCAGTCGCCATAGCCAGAGGAAGGGAACTTACCTGGAAGCCATATCTCTGTGTACTGTGTGGGCGCGTGTCGCCAGTTTGTCGTGCTACTGTTCACGTGCATGAAAAGTGTCAAAGAGTCGAGTCTGAATGCACTGGTATCGGAGCTGGTTCCCGCTATCCCATGTGCGCCGTCGTGTGCACGACCGATGCGCCATAGCTGAGGTGGCCGCTGGAAGGAGAAGTCCGCCATAGCGGACCTGAGGAGGAAGGAGCCGCCTCGCACCTGCGAGGAGACCACGACGAAGGAGAAGAGAGAGAGAGAGAGAGAGAGAGAGAGAGAGAGAGAGAGAGAGAGAGAGAGAGAGAGAGAGAGA